AAAATTCACAATAAAACATTCAAAAATATTAAAAACAATACAAAAATATTCATATTCATATTAGCTGTTGTCTTGAGTACAAAAATATTCATATTATTATTAGCTGTTGTCTTGAATACGTTATATTTTTACGTGTATAGTAGGCCTACTTGACTATTTTAAAAATGTAACCTCTGTTTTTATTATGTATGTTTGTATTTATTGAAATGAAAATGTTCCCGCCAGAAATCTCCTTTTTTGGACAATAAAGAAATCTTGAATCTTGAATGTATTTTTTTTACTATAGAGTATAACTGCGCTGCAGATGGCCCTGCATGAGTCTACCGCCCTCAACTACAGCATTGAAGCTGCTAAGACATTGGTTTGTTGTCAAAGTTTATTTACCGTATATGTATCATATATATTTTGGCCATAGACACATTCAGATGACATACGTCAAAAATTCAACGACAGTTTAAGTTTATTTTCAGCATTGAAAATATATATGTACAGTTGATTAACAGGATCAATATAACCTCAAAAATATCTTATATTCTCTTACAGGTGTACAACAGTAGAAATGATGAAAAAAGTGAATCATCACATATATACTTATGACGTCACAAGGGGAAATAATAATAATTTTGTACAGAACAAGCCAATTTCTGTGTGGTTTTAGTAGACCTACATCACGTGCTCTCCTTTTAAAATGAAACAAGTAGGCCTAGCCGACACCTATCCATATGTTCACAAGAGCACATAATTTAGTTTGTTCCCTTTTATTATTAAATCATAATAATCGTAATAATGTTATCTTTTAAATTATGTACTCAATATTTTTGGAAACCACCTGAAGCACATAATCTCTTATTATCCTCCTCATTATTTATAAAGGTCCTGGTTAGCGAAGCTCTGACTTTACCGTATTTCAACTCATCATTATGCTCAAATCGTCTTCTCTTGTCGCTTTTCAAATCATCGATTTTACAGGACTCTATACGGTCGTGTTGTGACGGATGCGGTTTCTGTTGTCATAGAGGTGGATTTAGAGTATTTTTGTTTTCGGCACTCGGAAATAAATTTTTATATGACGCAATAAAAAAAAAGTACTTAGTATATTAATGTGTAATAACAATGATGATACTTTTACTTTTATTATTAAAAGGCTTAGAAAACTAAACATGGCTTAACATATTGTTGTTGTTTAATGTCTCCACAGCAATTAACAATTTTTGAGAAAATGCCCTATTTAACTGCTCTCCACACCACATGGGCGCTTATAATAGCGCTTTGAGCACTACTGCAGTGGATTTGTGCGCTTTATAAATCTTTTTATTATTATTATTATTATTATTATTATTATTATTATTATTATTATTATTATTATTATAATGAATATAAATTATTATATTCGATTATTACTTTTAACTCATATCTTATTATTCTTTTATATTTTGTTTGATTTATATTAGTGTACCACATTGCATTTATATTGAATTTATTATATACCTGTTTTGTCTCACAATTAATGAAAGAATTAAAGGAAATAAATATTTGAATTTATTAAGGATTATTTTGTGTAACTTTTTACTCTCGGTCACTGAGGCTTAGGAGTCGGCCAAATAAAATATTTCCCAAAATAGGCCTCACAAAATTGTGTATCATGCTTTATTTTAATTTACTTCATTTCAACTATATCCAAGAGCAAAATATCCAATAAGAGAATGCCTTAAACTAACAATGATCAATAATATGCTTCAAAATACAGTACCAAGCTCTCCCGTTCTTATTTAGATCATTACAACTGAGTTGAACATCTTCAAGATCCTTCATGTTTAACGTGAACGATGAATTGATATGTCTAGCGCCCTCAACATAAAACTTAATTCCGTTTTAGAGTTGAAAAATGGTAGACGGAGATCTTGCCCAGACAATCCAGTAATACAAGTATGGAAACCGAAAATTGGAATCAACAAAGAAAAGAAAACAGAAGAACGGACATTTGTTTCTATATTTATTTTGATATCATGATTTACTTTAAAAGCAAATCTCATCTAATTTCTCAACTGTGACGTAGTAGTAATTGATTTATAAATCATCAAAATCATTGTTGTGCTGCATATGAACGGGCATTTGTTTCTATATTTATTTTGATAACATGATTTACTTTAAAAGCAAAACTCATCTAATTTCTCAACTGTGACGTAGAAGTAGTCGATTTATAATCTATCAAAGTCATTATGGTGCTGCATCACAATACGAAAACATTTAAAGATTTATTATCTTAACAATTTTACTACAGAAACAGTTATAATTAACTGTCAAATAAAAGGTCAATCAAATTATCTTTTTCATAAATTGTCAGCCCACCCATTTTCGTTTATAGTCCTACAAGTCTTCCTAATAAGCCTATTATTAGCCTTGGATTTTCAACATCAACTATACTGGGCTTTTTGTTATAAAAATGATCGAATACAGTAGCATGTGGATGGGTGGCGCCCCAGATTACAACCCCTACCACTCAGACCACAAAAGAAATCCACTCATGTACAAGGCCCTGGTTAAAAATAATGCCATTGCCATTTTCCAGACGGGGTGTCTGATACCCCCAAAAGGGGCCACACCACAGCCCACTGTTGGGGCTGAGGTGAGCAAAAAAATAGACACCTCTAGATTCCTGGAAAAAGTAATTTCAGCCCAATTTCAGACTGTTTTCCAAAGTTTTCAACAGAATGACATGCCTCCACCCCTGAGTCTGCTCTCGTATCTACCGCGGTAATTGTCGCCAATGCTTAGACATCACCGCATCCAGCACCCCCTTAATCATTCCCTCTCAGTCTCCCCCATGTCAATACACGGCACTGAGATACCTCACCTCAGAAAAAGCCAGACTCTTGTTAACAATGCCAGAGTAATAGTCATGCGTTTCTCTTAACATAAATTACCTTTTAGGCCTACTGAAGAAAAATCAGACGAAAAAATTATTAGGCCTATAGTTTTAGCAATGTTGCGAGTCGGATCAAAATATTTGGCGGGCCGGGGTTGGCCAGCGGGCCGGGGGTTTACCGAGCCTAAAAATAACAGAATTAAAATGGAAGAGGTCAGTGGCGTAACGATAGGGCCGGGGGCCCTGTGGCTTTTTGAAACTGGGGGACCTTTTTGGGTCCCGGTTGCCAATTCCATCGTGGGATCTTAGATGTAGGCCTACTCGTTTTTAAGTTATATTTGCATTGTTATTCTAAGTGTTTTTAACAACGAATAAATGCTATACTGTATATGGCGGATCCAAGTATTTTAAATAGGTGCCAGTTACTGACAGTTGGGGAATCTATAGACAATTTGTGATTATGGCACCTAGATGGCCGGAAATGGCACTGACATACATAAAATTGTGAATATAATTTTCTTTTTATCTCCATTAAAAAATATTTTGACAAATTTAGTGGGACCCCTGGTCGGCAGCCCTCCCCCCCCCACTTTATTCCGCTACTAGATATAATATGATATACCTATGTCCTCAGTCGATTTCAGAGACATATTATGCTGTTGCCATGGGAGGGGCTGATAGGAAACCGGATGATATGGCACGTCTAGATGGTAGGAAATGGCACTCACATACTTAAAATGTGAATATAATTTTCTTTTTATCTCCATTTTATTTATTTATTTATTTTTTGACAGATTTGGTGAGGTCCTGGGCCGACTGGGCCCCTAAATTTAATCCGCCACTGGATATAATACGGTATGATCAGGGAACAGTGTAATTTCACTGTTCCCTGGTTATACGGTACTGATTTTACTAAAAATATTCAAATATATATACGTTATTATAGTATACGTTTGTTGACAAAAAACTTATAACTACGTAAAAATTTAAGTAGGCCCTAGGCCCTAAGTGTAATTGAGATTTAAAATTTTATAGTTGTGTATGGCCTAATGCTACGATTGCGACCAATTAAAGGGTTTATGTAAATATATATCCCATACTGTTATATGTTTAATTAACGGTTTTCTCATTATTGAAGGCTAATTAATTAGATATAACAGTGGCGGACCTGTATTTCCCGTCTTAAAATCTTATACCTGGGCCCTTCTCAAAAAAAAAAAAAAAAAAAAAAAAATTATAATTTTTATAAGAATCATTTACGCGAGCACGGAATTTACGCGAGCACGCACGCACGCAAATATTCGATTATATATGAATTCTTATACGCCGTCCATACTAAGTGATGTTAATTATTAAATATAATTGTAAACCCAATTAAGTGTGTGAAATTAATATTTAATGTACGTAACACATATACTTTGCATGTGTTCATCGGGAAGATTATGAAACAAAATGGACGGTGTGTACCACGTGACTTTCGTAAACCAAGGAGCGGAATGTCGTAACTCTTTATATATATGGCTCTGGCTAAGTATATCCAGACGCAAAATGCGCTCTTCCTTTTCCACTAATGGAGGAAAACTTTTTCACTAAGAGTGCGTCCGGCCATGCGATTCTGCGCTGTATTGTTGTTTTATTCTTTACTGATTCATGATTATGCTATCTCTATTAATAAAGATATCTCTATTAATAGAGATATCTTAGTTTTAAATAGAGATATCTTAGTTTTAAATAGAGATATCTTAGTTTTAAATAGAGATATCTTAGTTTTTAATAGAGATATCTGTATTTAAAACTAAGATATCTCTATTAATAGAGATATCTTAGTTAAAACTAAGATATCTCTATTAAAAACTAAGATATCTCTATTTAAAACTAAGATATCTCTATTTACGATTAAATGACAACTCGGCTCGCCATATTATCTACTGTCCTTTTATATATAATATTTCTATTGTTCTTTTAGCCTTCAGAATGATTGTACATTCACGAGGGCGCTATTCGGTTAGACACCTTGAATAGAAAACTTCACCTGCGGATCGAGTGGACGAATCCATACTTAGATTCTTTTGAAGTGCACCGAAGGTATGGAAGCTCAAAACTCAAAAGTTATTCAGTATTGTGGAGGACAGTGCGAGTGAGCTATAGTATATTTGTAGGCAGGAAAAAAATATGCTTATTTGCCAATCAAGATGACTTCAACTATGAAACAACTTTTTACCTTGACAACTTTCATTAATTTTGCTGCCAATTTAGTACTAGCAAAAGAAAGTAAGTTCATTTTGGATAACTTGTCTAGACCTTTTATAAATTCGTTCGTAGGCATGTGTTGTGTTTGTTTTCTTGATTGTCTACTGCCGGTAGACCGCTCGCTGATCGTGGAGACTGGTGGAATTGAGTATGGCGAAGGACCCCGAGGGCTGGCCCTTGTACTGAGCTTTTGTGAACTCTTTTGAGATCTTCTGTTCAGATATTATTCGTATAAAGTTGTTCATTATCCATGGATATTTATTTAGTCAGATTAAGTTTCAAAAGCCTATAAGAATTGCCATCGTTCAGCTTGAACTTATAGAAATATGCTGCCATGTTTACTACAGTCATCTATCTAGAAAATTGAGATAGCTCAAGTTTAACAGTTTCAGAATATATAAGGATTGTATTTATTATTTATGTACAAATTTTACATGAATGTTTCTTCCAAACATCAAATATTATCCACCCTTTTTTGACCAATAATTTTCTACCGAAATTTTTACCAAATATCTAAATGTGAATTTAATGATAGGCATACTTTATTTGGTTTAACTTTATAATTATTTTCAGCAATTTACTTTTTGTTACAGAAATTGTTAGAAATGCAGTGTATTATATGTTGGAAGAAAGTGTTAAAAAATACTCAAATTTTATTACTCTCAATCTAATTTCAGTTACAATTTATGATAGCACAACACAATCAAATCTAGGTGACTGGACTATATATCCTACTCCCAGTGCTACAGACACATATACAGGGGTAAGTAAAGTAAACATTGTGGATGCCAGACTGAGATCCACCAACAAGTCTTAGATTGATAATAAAAAAAAACCAAATAAATAATACAGACTTAAGGGATGTGTTTAAAAAAAAAAATTACCATTTGGAAGGTACATTTTAAGGTACCGTATATGCTCGTATAAGCGCCGCTCTTGAATAAACGCCGCTCTTGAATAAGCGTCACACCAATCCTGCACCACTTAATCAAGGGTATATATTACCCTGTGTGTAATGAAACACTTTAAGAACCAGTGTTTTAAATACTGTGTACACAGTGTTAAAATGAATAAATAACACAATGAAGATGCAAGCATTTCTTTATAAACATTTATTTATGATGACTAGGACTTTCTGATAGGCCTACCGATACGGATAGGATATGTGAGATAGAGTAAAATGGGAAAGGGCATGGAAAGTGCAACGCAAATACTTTTTTATAACCGTTGCTCTCGAATAAGCGCTGCACTGAAGCTTCCAGAAATTTTATATTACCATTTACGGTACGGTAACAAATGAAATAAACAAGATTATATTATTTGTTTTTAATTTGTAAAACTTTCAAAAAATAAATAAATTAGACTGATTGAGAATATAATAAGCATTCTGGTTGAAAATTATACTCTGATTCACAGATTACTTTTAGTAAATGATAGGCCTACAGTATACTGGATAAATTTCCATATTTACTTTTAAAGACATACCGTCTGTGAGTTAATACTTAAAAGATAAGTTCATGTTTGAATTGCATGCTTTGTAATTTAGAAGTTAATAACTTTCGATTGACAATTAAAGGGGCAAGATATTTTCCTTGATGATTATCAAACTCAAACTCATAAATATTTTGTTCTTATATTTGTAAGGTATTTTAAAGATTTTCGTATATAAAAAGTTTTATATTTTGATTAAGCAAAGTTGAATTAAATTTTAATCTGTTTTGATTTAAAGTTGATAACATATTTGGTTGTTGATAAATGAGCAATTCATGGTTTTAATAGTGGTTTCTGTTTCTTTACCATCAAGAGTAGGCCATCTAGGCCTGTCTCTTTGTAAAGCAAATTCTTTAACGAGTTTCCTTAACTTACCAGTCGGTATCGTTATTCATTGCTTCTTCACCATTGGGGTTTTTTTTCGTCACCACAGTATACCACGATCTTTAACAAATCAACGTTAGGTAGCAGTAGATTTGGATTTAAGTTGATAAGCATTAGTCATAGGATTGTTATATGTAGTAATAAATACAGAATTGATCTGAGGTAAAGTGGAAGTACAGACAGAAAAACAGCTCGTAGCAGAGACAGGTGTACAATACTAATAAAGATTACCGGTATTAAGACCCATCTGGGACATACACTGGAGTGACCAATTGTTCCTCTGCTGCAATCTTCACTGCAGCTCAAACATAATTGTCACTAACTACGGAAGATTTTGCCAAGGCTGAAAACAACGTTCATGTTTTAGATGCTCATTGTTGATGTTCTTAAGTCCTTGCTTGAAAAAACAGAACATGATAATGGCTCTCTAAAGGAATCTTAAGCACAGGCCATAAAAGTCTCTGAAAAAGTGAGAGCTGAGTCTCAGTATTACTTGTGACCTAGCCGTGCAACTATTTGCGTGCAGATAAATCTCGTAGGTTTGTCATTTACGACTAAATTTAGTTTCTCCAGTTGGTGACAGAGTGGGCACTGTGGTATACACCATTATCTGAATGATCTCTCCATGGATGCACAAAAGACATAGGAGAGTTAAATCACATTTTATGATGATAGTAAAAACTTCAGATGAGAGAGTCAATCGGTTGTTTCTTAGTGAAAGGCTTGTGGGTTTTTCACCTTTGTTGATCAGGTCTTATTAAATTCTTGACCGGACATCAAGAACTTAATTCATCAGTGCTCAATACCAGACAAACCGCTGAGGGAATCAAGCAAATTGTGGACAACAAATACAAAAAAATTAAATGAAATACTTAAAATATATTTGATAATGATGGTAATAAAAAATAATATATTTATTGTCATTGAAAAAGTATAATATAAATAATTGTTAATTGAGTTTAAAGTATTCATAGGGATGCAAGTCAAAAATCAATTTTTTTGTTTGTTGGCTTTAATTAGATTCCAGTTTTTGTTATATAAATTATTATAATCTCTTTTGAATACAAATCGTCATGAAGTGTTGGATCGAAATTGTTACCTGAAATTGAGATACAATTTAATTGACTCTTTCCCAACAAAATGTTTATTTCGAGAATGTATACATAAAGAAATGTATCTGCATTTGAGCACTACTGTATCTCTCTATTAAAGCACTGTACATATCACGATTACAGATAAACTATATTCTCCCAGGACCCTGCACAGGTGTAAATTAAAATTTTGTTTATAATTCACACCATGACACACTTATATAAAACAGATACTCTGACAAGATTCCAGTAGTTTTATCTCAAATATTTGTTTATGTGTCCATTAGACATGGCCAGGATGGGGTTTGTCAGGCACTTGATACGGATCATACCTGGCTGTTGATAATATAATTAGTAATGTACCGCTCCTCAATTACAAATTCATTGATACAGAATTAATTGTATTAGTGACACATTCAAAACTGTTATTACAGTATAATTGTTTTTTTTGTGTTCTTCCATTACTGTATACGTAAAACATGATGATCGAAACGTCGATCTTTTCTTTTTAGCGTTATTTTTATGTTAAATATTTATACAAAACGTACTCTTATTAGATGTTTTCTATAGTTGATTTAACCATGTTTTAAATTAAATATTTTATTATCAAATACAATAATAAAATACAGAGCCTAAACAACTGATTATATAGTTTTGCTCTTACCCAGATTGCATTAACATTGTCAGGCTTAAAATGAAATTAAAACAAGAGAAAATAACTTTAAAAACAAGAAAAGAACAATAGAAAATAGTGTACTGGTGCACAGTATATCCCTACTCAACCAAGAGTGATGAAAAAGAGTTCAACTCTGCGTGATATAGCTAAAAAAAGGTTAAAAATTTAAAAATGATAAAATCATTTTCTTAATTAGATATTTTCAAAAGAACATTAAACTGACCGTTTACTGTGCCGCAATGGTGATTAAATACAGACTTGAGGCCATAAAAACCATTTAGAAATTTCCCTGGTAATTGTCTCAAATGGCATATGATTTATTGTTTATTAGCCAGACAATTGGGAAACATTTTTTTATCATAAACATTGGTTTATCATGTAATAATTCAGAGAATGAAATTCTATTCCTTCTATGCTATACAGTAGTACCTGTACTGTACTTTGTTTTTCTTTCCTTTAGAGCAGTTAATTTTTGTGATGTCATTAAACTGTAGACTGTTGAGGCAATTGATACAGGGCCCCTATAGAATTCATAACAAGCTGGCCTCAGGACTTTAAAACTAAGCAGTACCTTGCATAAAAGGCATCTTGAAACCCCTCCTTAAATCTATCTTATAATAGCTTAGCTGCTGTAAACAAAAGGCTTTAGGTGTTTTGTGCTTTTTCCAATTCTAATAGAATAGAGTACAACCAGGCTAAAAGCATGGAGAAATAGGTATCTTATTCCTCCATGCTATAATAGTACAGGTACATAACTGTTTCTTTTTACTGTTTATTATAACAATCCAGGCTTACATTTGCCTTTAATTACCTTAGTTTTTTAATTGGTAATTTAATCAATTTCATATATTTATTTTTGTAAGATTGAATATCTATTAAAAAATATTGTAGTTTTGTTGCCACAGTATACCGCAGTACTGTAGTAAAGTTACTAGACAGGCTTATATTAATTGTTTTTTTTTTGTTCGACAAGTACCTATTTCTTAGAAATTAAATTCTATATGTTTGGAAATTTAAAAATTCCGATATTAAAAATCATCATCAAGCCTGAAACTCCACTAAGAAAAGAAAGATTATAGTCAAGTGACATGGCATCATAAACTATACCAAATGGCCTGGCTTAAGCTGAGGTGAAAGTTCAGCAGTAAATAGAGCCAGGAATGTGATTTCAGTGGCATTAATCTGTAAATGATCTAGACCTACCACACCAAACAGAAACAACTGTCAGATATGGTAGTTTAAAGAGGAGCTCGACAAAGACCAGAATATCTAAAATATGATCTTAACTTGTTTACTCCGGTGTCATACCATATTTGGTAGTCTTTATATACAAACAACAAATCATCCTGATGTTTTATGTTTTGTGAGTTGCTCTGTGAGTTCAAAGTTGACAAGTGAATACAAAAGGTGCTGAGACATGAGAAGTATCATTTTTCTTCTGGGTGACAAGTATTCTGTTTGAGATTCTAATTTAAAAAACTTCAGCAACGAATGACATAGGTATTTAGTTTTATTATATCCAGAAACTTTTCACCACCCGGTTGTCAAACTTTTCAAGTTTTTTAAAAACTTTGAATTCAATACTTAATAAAAAACCAAGCTAATTTGAATTTATTAATTATTTTAATTAATTATTAAAAGATACGTTAATGAACAAAAGTAGGCCATCTGTACTGGATAATAATTAATAAACTCAATTTGTCTTATAATTAATATCATTTCTAAATTTAATATATTTGTAAATTGCAGTCATGTGTACATTCGATGTAATGTTAAATGCTTACAAATACAATTCATCAAACATTAAAGGACATCAAACCTGTACTAATCTAACAAAAGCATCATTATAAAAAAGGACAATTGTGTCACCTATTGTCTCTTACAGGTATATGATACCCTCCATGATGACACTGATAAGTTTTATAAATAAAGATCTTCTCACACCCTTACCGGTAATGGTAAATTAATAGGGGTGCATGCTTTAAGATAATGCTGAATTATCTGTTAATCACATACGATCTGATTGTGTCAATTTGAACACCTTTTGTTTCTATTGTAATTATTTTTGTCTTACTGTATCCCACACCTTCACTTGTATACTGTAGCTCCATGGTTGTATCG